CCCTCCCCCCATTTTGGGTAGCCAATGTCCAAGTTGCCCATCCCTGTCTACCCTTTGTGTGGAGGGGGTGGGATTTGTAGCAGGGATTTGTTTCCTCTTTTGAGCTACTATGTTTATAGGTGTAGGTTTTTCAGTCTCTTTTTGACCAGTAAGCCTGGCCTTTTTGATAATCTTTCACTCATGGAACAGCTGGTGAGTTATTTTTTTATATAGTTCTGCATTGTCTCCCACTGTATCTGAGACTTTTGAATGTGATCTCTTTCAGAGCAGTTGATAGTGCTAGCTGGACATCATCTAGTTCTTCTGGTCTGAGTCATGGAGACTGATGTTCATATATTCCGTTAGTTTATTGGACTAATTGAACTTCAGGTGTGACGATGTGAATCAGTACAGGACTGCAAACCACAAGGTCAGCAGTTCAGACCCCCCAGCTGCTTCCCGAAACCCTACATACGGTTGCTATGAGTCGGAACCAACTTGACAGCACTTAACAGTTGAACTAGTTGATTCCCAACATTTTCAGTTTTCACCAATCTTCTTTCCTTCACACATTGAGACACCAATAGTTGTGCTGCAAATGGCCACTCATGAGCTTTTTTTTTTTTTTAATGTTTTCTTATGAATTATTTGATAGTTTACATGGGAGAACATTGGTTTTACATTCATTCTATCTTATATCGTATCATTGCCGTGGTTACAATCCCCTCCATGCAATCCTTCCCCCGTGCCCCCCAGGTCTTCAGCACACAGTCGCTCTCCCTCTCTGGATCTAAAGTCTCCAGCTGCTCCATCTCTCCACATCATCATCTCTGGCTCCATTTCAGGCATCACTGCTTCTCTGGGTAGGGTCCCGGTCTCTGCTCTTCTCCCTTGGTGGTCCTAGGGACCTCCGCTCCTAGACTGCAAAGTTAATCACTCCCCTCCTTGCTATAAAACGTCTACCTTTACATTTCCAACCCTCAGAATCAGTCCTGATAACAATTATTCACTATTGTATCACAAGAGCCCCGTCTACATTTCATTGCATCAGCCCTGGCTAGTCAGATTGAATACTACTCACTGGAGATTCTACCTTCCTCCAGGCCCTCTGGATCTAGGTTCCGTCTTGAAAGCTTGTAAGCCAGTCACTTCTTGCCTTTGTAGCCCCCCACCCCTCATTTTGGGTAGCCAGTGTCCAAGTTGCCCATCCTGCACTCATGAGCTTTTGAGAGCTAAGTCACTACTGACCAAAGGAGCTCTGGTAGCGTAGCAGTTACGAATCGGGCTGCGGGCCGCAAGGTCAGCAGTTCGAAACTACCAGCTGTTCCGTGGGAGAAAGAGGAGGCTTTCTTCTCCCGTAAAGATTTACAGCCTCGGAAACCCTGTACAGGGTCGCTATGAGTTGGAACCGACTCCACGGCACATAACAGCAACAACTGACCAAAGTAGGATGTAGAACATTATCTTTGGGGACTTGGTTATGCCAGTGACCGTGATATCCCCTGATTCATATTTTAAGTTTTCATTATTACATGATAGGCTGCTATACAACATATATAAATGAACTATAAATGATAACAGTGAACATCTGTGAGTGAACTTCTACAAATGATACCATTAGCAAGTGAAGTGCTGTATTGCTGTATGTAGTACATATTACAGAAAAAACCCGATGGCTGTTAATTGCAGTCTGTCACACTTGAATATGCTGTGAGTCATACTACTTGTGTATTTATATATAATTTATTTCTATAAAATGTATATCTTTGTTTCTGCCTTTTTTTCTCTAATAGATTGGCTGTGAGGATGGATCTGTGAAACTATTTCAAATCACTTCAGACAGAATCCAGTTTGAAAGAAATTTTGATCGGCAGAAAAGTAAGGGTCATTTTTAGTGGAGAATTAAACAGCCTTAACAGGAAGTTACATTTTTATGACATTGGGTATGGGGTTATTTTCCATGCGCCAGGTAGTTGACATGTTGACTGTGCACAAAAGCCTTCCCTAGCCCAGGCTTTCTACATTGCGTTCCAGAGTGGTGATTGCCTGGCCAAGTAATAATATAGAAAACTGGAAATCCAAAATAGGAATCTTTGGAAGGAAAAAGTGGATTTGTTAGTTACTGCTTATTTTTGTGAAGTCTTAACAAATGTGCATAAAGTCTTGGAATGAGAATTTTATCTGTAGTAGCTATGGTTCCTAATCTTGTTAGTATATTCAGATTGCCTGGAGTTTTTTGTTTGTTTGTTTTAATTGCCCACGTTCACACCTCTTCTAGATCACATACTACTGACTTGTACAGCAGGGGTTTGGCACACTTCTATAAAGGACTAGGTGATGAACATTTATCTAGAAGAAAGGCTTATGGACCACAGTTAGCTACCACTCCTCTAGTGAATAATGACTGTTCCACATATTCTCTTAATGTCCTTTCTTCAATACTATTCATCTTTTGCTCAGATTCATGTTTTATTTGTTTTTAATATCTGTTGAGTGTTGTTTTGTAATTACAAAAGTGATCCAATGCTTGTTAAAAATCTCAGGTATTTAGCATGCAGCATTTTGGAACCTTGTCTTTTAGACTTTGCATATTCATATAAACACACACACTTGTTTTTTCCAGCTTATTTATTCACTTGCTGTATTACAAAGACATCTTTCTATGTCAGTCTGTCTGCATGGCATTTCTATTTCATGGGGTTTCCTAATTTCTTTTAAGGAACTCTGGTAGCGTAGTGGTTACAAATCGGGCTGTGAACCACAAGGTCAGCAGTTCGGAGCTACCAGCTGCTCCGTGGGAGAAAGATGAGGTTTTCTGCTCCTATAAAAATGTACAGCTTCGGAAACCCTGTTCAGGATCACTGTGGGTTAGAACCAACTCGATGGCACTTAACAACAACAAAATTTCTTTTAAGCTATTGGCATAAAAAATATATATATTGATTTTTAACTGCTACAAGCAGTGCTTCAGTGAACATTGTTAGAATCATATACTTGGGCACCCATATAGGTATTACTCTGTCATCACTTTGTAGCAGTGCAATGCTGAGGCCAAAAGTACTCAGATTTTGTTAGGATACCATGAAAAGGTAGTACTCATTTACACACTCCCATCAACCAGTGATACAGTGCTGCTGTTAGGGCAGGCCCCTGGTTGGTTTGAACTGCAAGGTTGGCAGTTCAGACTCAGCAGCTGCTCCACTGGAGTGCACCAATGAGAGCTTAAGGCTAGAGCTATAGAGTAAGTGTGGAAGTAGGATTCAGTTAGCCCTTGCTGTATACTTATGTGTTTTGTCATTTTCTTTTTTTGTTGTATAACTCCCAAGGTCGCATCCTGAGTCTCAGCTGGCATCCCTCTGGTACCCACATTGCAGCTGGCTCCATAGACTACATTAGTGTGTTTGATGTCAAATCAGGTGACTGTTTTTCTCGGTTCATTTGGGGCCTGGGTCTTGTCAGATTTGCACTCTGGGTTTCCCAAAGCTTAAACCTTCGTTTGTTATGCTTTCAAGGGTCTGTAGGGTCTAACCTCTCACTAGCCTTCTAGGACACTCATAAGTTTTTTCACTCCTTTCTTAGATAACTATTGCTGTGTTTAGCAGATTCTTGGTTATTCAATAAGATGCAGTTCTTTTTCATCATAATAAGAATTCACAAAATCTGCCCCAAAAGTGGACTTCTGCCATTCAGGACCATGAGATCTTAAATAACATAATAAGAAATGAGATCAGAGAGACCAAGAATCACAGACTTACTGCTTTTGGTCCTTAGAGTTGACTAGTGTAGCCCTCCCGTGATGAGATTGGCTTCCACTTGTTGCATGGGCTTATTTTTCTATGCTCCCATTTAAGATAGAAGGTAGAACAGTTAGTTTTCTTTCAGTGCTTAAGTAACATTTTATAGTTTGTATTTGCAGATAATCTATTCCCTAACGCTTGTTATAAAAAACAAGTCCCTCTACGTCCCTCTCCAATTCTTCAAAGGCAATAGCATTCAACTCCTACCTGATTTCTTTTGGTATTTATTTCTTGTCTCTAAATAGCTTGCTAGCTACGTTGTTTTGTTTTCCATTTTAGACCATAATTTATTGACTTTACACTATTTAGATAGACCTTTTCCTCTGTCTTTTGCCACATTTTATCCTGACTCGCTCCTTGGAGACCCTGTACTGGGTTGCTATGGGTCAGAACCTACTCAAAGGCACATAATAACAACTCCTCCCAGTGTGGTGGTGATGTCCATTGGTCAGATTAGTAGTCTTTTCATTATTACAACCATATAAACACAGTTTGTATAGCAGAATTACTTCTCCTTTTATGTACTCTTTTTGTTAAATAGTCGTCTCCCTTCCTTCTTTCCTTCTTTCTACTCCTAGTTTTGGTATATATATCACAAATTTATCCCCAGATTATTTTTCCTGTCGTTAAATCTTTTTGTACTAGGTTCAAACTCATCTTGGGCTCTCTATCAAATTCACTTTGATGTCTTTCCCAGAGATTGACCTGCTCCCGGGCCTCTGCTGTGTGAATGTGAGATCTTAGACTATCATTCACATTCACTCAGCCCTTTACTTCTCTCTTGCATAGACATCCTGGTTTCCATGTCTTTCTCTTTCCTGGTTTAAATACTTTTGTTTTAGTGGAACCTGCCAAAGGTTGCATGAGAAAGAATTCTAGGTTGGAAATTGTTTTCTTACAGTATTCTAAAGCCATAACTCCATTGTCTCCCAGCTTTATCTTCATTCTTCTGAAATTTAGTAGTAATATTTCTTGGTGCCTAACAGCTTCCTAAACTTTAAACCATTTCTTTCTGTTAGCTATAAGTATCTGGACTCACCAGTTCCTGAGTCTTCCGTGATCAGTCGAGGTGACCCTCTACTTTCCCTTCAGCCGGTGTAGGACTAAACTTCAGGACTCTGCTAAGTCAGTTAGTTACCACTCTCCTTCCCAATTCCCAACCTTTTGTCACTGTTGTCTTCTCTCCTTTTCCTGTGGGATTTGGAAAAGAGCAGAGTATAATGTGCTTATACATTTGGCCAGCGTTATGTGCAAGTCTCAAATGTCTCTTTTCCATTTCACCACCCTAAAAGGTTTCTGCTGTTCCTTTTTATCTTTAGTAACCATTTGTGGGGTATGAGACTGAGTTCACGAGAACTATCATTTATTGGCTGGTTCTATTTTAGTTACTGACTTCATATGTCATGCCTACTTCAGGTGTTTTTTGAAGGCCAAAGGAGAAATAAATGCCACACAAATGTGAGCTTTTTATTTTTTATTTTTCAGGGAGTGCTACTCATAAGATGATTGTGGACAGGCGATACATGGGTGTATCTAAACGGAAGTGCATCATTTGGGGTGTGGCTTTCTTGTCTGATGGCACTGTCATAAGTGTAGACTCTGTGGGGAAGGTGCAGTTCTGGGACTCAGCTACTGGAACACTCATCAAGAGCCATCTCATCGCAAATGCTGATGTGCAGTCCATTGCCGTATCTGATGTGAGTATGGTCCCTGTTTTGCATAGTTGATGTACAGGCTGGGGGTGCAGTGGCTGTTGTTGTTAAGTGCTGTACAGTCACTCATAGCGATCCTGTATAGGGTTTCCAAGGAGTAGCTGGTGTGTTTGAACCATCTACTTTGTGATTCAAACTGACCTTGCATTCCAATGCTTTACCCTACAGCGCCCCTATGACAAATACAGAAGAGACACTATAAGCACTGTTTCCCTGCCCTGAATGTGGGATGAGAGGAGGAGCAATTTAGGAAAACTCAGTCTTTTTTTTTAATTTCTCATGGTTTATAGTATTATATAAATTTATTTTAAACGTAGATGGTGTCAGTACCATAATTTAAGAGTTAGTATCGCTGTTTTAAAAAAAAAAGGGGGAGCCTTGGTACGTAGTATAGTGTGGCTGCTGACTGCAAGTTCAGTAGTTTAAATCTACCTGTAATTTTTTGGGAGAGGAATGATGATTTCTGTTCCCATAAAGACTTACAGCCTCAGAATCCCATGAGTCAGAACCAACTTGGTGATGCACAGCCACCACCATCACCATCACTGTGAAAGAAAAAGTTAAATAGAGTTGAGAATAAAAATATTTGGAAAGTTTCTTCAAAAGGGAAATTGTAAAGTGTTAAAAACAAAATATATCAGATGTTACATTGCAACTGCTATCTTAAAACAGATGGTGCATTAAGTGTTGAATGAGAAACTAGTTTGCTCTGTAAATTTCCACTCAAACCACAATAAAATGTTAAATAAGTAAAGAGAAAATACATAGCCTCAAATGGAGATGTTCTTGATTTTAGCAGAATTTAAAAAATAATCAAAAGGGAAACAATTTAGTTGCTATGCTTATATTTATTTATTTATACTTGGTCTGTGTGTTACCTGAAATTATTTACTGTTGCTTTAAATATCTTGTGTTGCCACCAGTCATCTGATTCGCACCTTTAAGGAAATCATTAATTTTGATGTAGTTTTTTTCAAAATCTAAGGAGAAATTCATTAGTTTTTCCAATTAGCATTTAAAACCATACACATTTATTTTTGAACAGTCTAGCAATCATGTGGTGTACAAATCAAAAGTATAAAAATTAGACAGTGAAAAGTCTTCTGCCGCTTGTCAGTCCACTTCTTATTCAATTTTCTCTGTGTGACTACTGTTGATTTCCTTGTGTACTTCAAAAAAAATTGTGATTTGGGTGAAAATTTATAGAGCATGTTGGTTTTCCATTCAGCAGTTTACAAGGGGGCTTAAGTTTATGGAAAAGTCAAATGGAAAGATAGTGGAATTCTCCCTACAAACTTTTGAAACTTCCTCATGTAGACATTTAGTTTTGTGACATTGGTAATATAATCCCCTCAATGTAACAGCGTCCTTTCCCCGTATTCCTGGGTTCCCCATTTCCATCCCTCTTTCTTTCCTACCTCTTCCTGCCTTAGCTTTGTTTTTGGGCAAATGCTGCCGTTTTGGTCTCATATGGTTGATTGTATTAAGGCATATATTCCTCCCTGGTGTTATTACTTACTCTCTATGCCTGTTTCTTGTTTGGCTGAAAGAAAGTTGGTTCAGTTCCAGGCTTGAAGAGAATGAAGGGCCACAGTCTTGGTGTTTCCACTAGTCTCTATCAGACCAGTAAGTTTGGTCACTATGTTTTTACACTTGATTCTATTTTTCCCCCCTCCCTCTTTAGGAGTTTTCATTGTGATCCTGATCGGAGCAGTCAGTAGAGGGAGTAGGGCATCATCTAATTCTTCTGGTTTCCAGGTAGCATAGTAGAGGCTTGGTTTGCTTTGTCTGTTAGGGCTTTGGACTGATTATTTCACTCTTCTTTGTTCCGTATAGGGAGAGACTTAAATAGTTGCCTGTTAGATGGCCACTTGCAAACTTTTAAGATCCCATCACTAATTGGAATCCTGGTATGGCGCTGTAGGGTAAGCAAGGTCAGTTTAAACTGTAAGGTTGGTGGTTCAGACTCATCAGCCACTCCTCAGAACCCCTTATAGAGTTACTGTGGGTCAGAACCGACGCGATAGCATGTAACAACAACAGTCACTACTTAACAGAGTTCTTAACAAAGAACATTATCTTTGTGGATTGTGTTAATGTCAGTTGACCTAGTCATCGCCTGAGACCATGGTCCTAAATTCCTAAGACCAGTGAGTCATTCCCTCAAGGTGCTTGGTTATAGCTGGTAAGTTTGCAGAACTTTATCCCCTGTATACTCTACAATAGTCTTGGTTATTATATTTATTGTACATAAAAATACAGGGAGACCTCAAGAAATTTGTGGAAAAATGGAATTAAAAGATAATGAAAAATTTCCAAGAACTTTTTGAAGCCTCCTTATGTAGATAGACATAAACATATCGTCTGCCAAATTATGTATACGTTTGAGTATATTCCCAGTTGTCTCCCAGAGTCAGTTTAGCTTCAGGCCTATTTATGTATCTATTTACAGATAGTTTGTTGTTACTATTATTGCAGTGTTGTTTGTGATAGTGTATACCTTTGTAGTCTTTGACTCTTGCATGCCTCCCAGTGATTTATTTTGCTATTGGTCATATTGTGCTGCCCTTTTCCAGTATCGTATAGTGCCTTTTGAAAAGCAGTTTGTTGTTGTTGGTATTGACTCATACTTTATGCTCAAGAGAATGAAACATTGCTCAGTTCTGTGCCAGCCTCACAATCGTTGCTATACTTGAGTCCATTGCTGCTGCCACTGTGCCAGTCTATTTCTTTTTTGCTGACCTTCCACTTTACCAAGTATGATGTCCTTTTCCAGGGACTGGTACCTCCTGATAATATGTCTGAAATATGAGAAGTGAAGTCTGGCCATCCTGGCTTCTAAAGCGCAATTTGACTGTGTTTCTCCCAACACAGATTTGTTTGTTCTTTTGGCGGCCTATGGTACTTTGAATATTCTCCTCCAATGCAAGAACTCAAATGCATCAATTCTATTACGATCTTCTTATTCACTGTCCAAATTTCACATGCATATGAGGCTATTGAAAATACCCTGGCTTGGGTCAGGTGCACATTAGTAGTCCTCAAACCGCTTTACTCTTGAGCACTTTTAAGTCTTGTGCAGCCGATTTATCTAATGCAGTTCGTGTTTTGATTTTTTGACTACCGAATCTGTCGAATGTTGGTGGTTGATCCAAGCAAAATAACGTCTGACAATGTCAATCTTTTCTCCGTTTATCTTGGTGTCATTTATTGGTCCTTATTGTATAAAGCAATATACAATGGGGAAAGGCAATATACAATAAAGGGTTTGTTATTCGTTGATGAGTTCCTTTAAGTTGGTTCTGACTCATAGCGACCCTTTGTAGGTTTTCTGACACTGCATCTTTTTGGGAGCAGAGAGCCTCATGTCTCTCCTGCATAGTGGCTGGTGGACTTGAATCACCAACCTTGTGTTTATTTTGTACAGCGCCACAGCACTCCCACAATAAGGGTTGTCATTGTTAAGTGCCGTGGAATCGGTTTCACTTCTTAGTAACCCTTGTTTGGGGTTTCCGAAGAGTCGCTGGTGGATTTGAACTGCTAACTCTGTGGTTCAAACAAGCTTTCTATGGTGATGCTTTTTGCTATTCCTTTCTCTCCCCCTCCAGTGTCTCTTTTATAATAGAATGCAAGGAAAACCAAGATTCAAAAGACAGCCAAGCATCTTAATATTATTCCCCCCTTTTCCACATTCCAACCATGGCTCGATCTCTGTATCCCAGAACCCTGTTCTTCTCACGTTGTACATATATCATTATTTACCTCTGTCTCACTTAGCCCATTGAGACCTGTCTAATTGTTCTCCCATCTGCTTTGTTATTGTTTTAATTGTTTGTTTATTTTTCTGTTGGATTGTTGGTCTTTTTCTTACTGATTTTGAAGAGTCTTAACATTTTAGGGAGTTTTTTGGTTGTTTTTTTTTTAAACTATTGTGAGTTGCAAATATTTTCTCCATTTTTTTTTTTTAATGTGGAATTTGTGTGTGTGTGTCTGGTTTTGATTTGTCTTTTTTTCCCACACTGAGTTTATATGAGAATCTTCCCTTATTTTCTTTCAGTTATTTTTGCAGTTTCCGTTTTTACATCTAAGTTTTTATTTGGAGCTTGCTCTGGAACACAGAGATATGCACTGAACTTTCTTTTTAACTAACTAGATCTCTCTATCCAGGTTTCCCATCTTCTTTAACAGAAAACTCTACTTTTTCTTGCCACCTTAAGATATCAGATGGTTCTCAAATACTGTCTTAACATACTAAGTTCTCATATATGTATTTGGGTTTATCACAAGGCTTTCTGTTCTGTTGCACTGGTCTGTCTGGTCACAGACAGTGCTACACTGTTTTAACTTTTAGTATTTAAGTATATACCCAAATTTATTTGCTTTTATATCTAGCAGAACTAGAGCTCCACCCCACTTCCTTTTCCCCCATTGTTTTCATGTTAAGTGCCGTGGAGTCGGTTCTGACTCATAGCGACCCTGTACAGGGTTTCCAAGGCTGTAAATCTTTACAGGCGCAGAAAGCCTCACCTTTCTCCCGCGGAACAGCTGGTAGTTTTGAACTGCTGACCTTGAGGTTCACAGCCCGCTTCGTAACCAGTACGCTACCAGAGCTCCTTGATAAAAGTGATAGGAGTTTATATATCAGTAAATCTATAGTCCATGAGAATTTGATGAGCGTGAATTTCTAATGATTGGTGCATTGTGGAGTCTTACCACTAAAAACTCTTGTTATTGCTGTTAAGTAACATCAAGTCTATTGACCCTTCGTATGGCTCTGGGTAGGTGCATTTGAACTACTGATTTACAGTTAGGAGTCCAGTGCTTATCCTAGAGTACCACACCAGGACTCTTTTTTAAAAAATAGCCAACCTCATGTTGAATACTAGACTTGTGTTTAGTTTTTCACTATTTGGCAAATGTGTTTAGTTTTTCACTATTTGGCAAACCGAATTTTACATATATATCTTAGTGTGCTGTCCTTTGCTAAGTTCTTAGAAATGGAATTACTGGTTTCGGGTCTATGTTCCCTTCAGAGGCATTTCTTACTTAGGCTTTTTTTAAATTTTTAATGTTTTATTGTGAATTATGTGATAGTTTACATGGGAGAACATTAGCTTTACATTCATCCTATCGTATATGTCGTTTCATTGCCATGGTTACAATCCACTCCATGCATCATCAATGAATCAAAGTCTGCCCCCGGTTGTCATTCCCACTCAAAAACACAGCCCCTCTCCCTCTCTGTCACTCCATCTCTCCACTTCGTCTCTGCCTCCATTTCTGGCATCTCTGTTTCTCTGGGTAGGGTCCCGCACTCCGCACTTCTCCCTTGATGGTTCCAGGGACCTCCACTCTTGGACTGCGAAGTCAACCACTCCCCTCCTTTTGCTACAAAATGTCTATCTTTGCATTTCCAACCCTCACAGTCAGTCCTGATAGTAATTATTCACTATTGTACCACATGAGTGCTATCCCCATCTCCTTTCATCAGTCCCACCCAGACAGATATTACTCAGTGGTGATTCTACCTTACTCCGTGCCCTCTGGACTTAGGCTTTTTAATGTTTATTATTTTTCTGTTTTGTTTTTCTATGGAGTCCTGGTGTGGCACTGTGGGGTAATGTGATGGACTGCAATGTCGACAGTTCAATTTCACCAACCACTTCTTGGAAACCCTATACAGGGTCGCTGTGGGTCAGAACTGACTCGATGGCACTTCACAACAACAACAATACCTTTATGGAGTCCTGGTGTGGCGCTGTGGGTTAATGCACTAGACTACAAAGTTGGCTTGAACTGCAGGGTCTATGGTTCAAGCTCACTAATCATTCCTTGGATCCCTATACAGGGTTGCTATGGGTCAGAGCCGCCTCGAGGGCACTTAGAAACAGCAAGAATATCTTTGTTATGAAACATTTCCATTCAGGAACATGGTATATTTTTCTTTTTAGATTTTAACTCATAAAGGTCTAGCTATGAGTAGGAACCAACTGTATGGCACTTAACAACAAAAAGTTTGTATTTATCTTTAGTAGGACACTTGACTGCTAACTAAAAGGTGGGTGGTTCAAACCCACCAGCACCAGCAATATTGTGCAAGAAAAATGTGACAGTGTGCTTCTGTAAGGATTGGTGGTGGTGGTGATCGTGGAGTCAGAACTGACTCATAGCGACCCTGTACAGGGTTTCCAAGGTTATAAATCTTTATAGAAGCAGAAAGCCTCATCTTTCTCCCATGGAACAGCTGGTAGTTTCGAACTGCTGATCTTAAGGTTCGCAGCCAGGTCGTAAGTACTACGCTACCAGAGCTCTGGAAACTCTTTGAAGCAATTCTACTTTGTCTTAAAGAGTCTCTGTGAGTTGGAATTAACTCGACAAGCTAGAGTTTTGATTTGGTTTTATTTTTGGTGGTTTGTATATACAAAAACACTCATTACAGTTTGAGATGTGTGTTGTTAATTTTGTCGGTAGGGGGCGCCATGTTCTCTGTGTCTTAGGTGTCTCTGATGAAATTGTTAGTCTTCCAAAGGAACCTTCTAATTCTAGGAAGAGGTGTTTTACCCTAAGCTTCCCAGTCAGAAAACCTCAGGGAATATTTTTTTTTTTTTTTGCTGGACCCTGTTTTGCTGAAATGTATCTCCTCAATGGTTTAATTTCTCAGCAAGAAGACAGTTTCGTGGTGGGCACAGCCGAGGGGACGGTATTCCATTTTCAGCTGGTCTCTGTGACTTCCAACAGCAAAGAGAAACAGTGGGTTCGGACAAAGCCTTTCCAGTATCACACTCATGACGTGCGCGCCGTGGCCCACAGCCCGACGGCGCTCATTTCTGGAGGTGGGTGCCCTCTCAGCGGGGCTGTTCCTTCACTCTGCCCAGTGGGTCCTTTTTTGTCGGGGGTTTTCTAACTCTATGTCTTCGCCCCTCTCCTCCATCCCAGGCACAGATACTCACTTAGTTATTCGTCCTCTCATGGAGAAGGTGGAAGTAAAGAATTATGATGCTGCGCTCCGAAAAATCACCTTCCCTCATGTAAGTGTCATCGTGTCCCTCTCCCTTCCTCCATAGCCTCTCCTTCCCCTATTCCCGTGTTCCACTAAACTCAACACAGTCATCACTTTCTGAGCAAACTTGAAGGACTTCCTGGAGCCACTTTTTCTTTTTTCCTTCTGTTTGCTGAGCAGGCCTCCTAGAAAGATACTTAAAGGGACAAGAGATTTACAATAACATTTCTAGTACATTTCCAGGCAGATCCCTCCCTTTTCCAGATAGCTGTGGTTTCTGGGAATTATGTTTGTTTCTTTGTTTTATTTTGCTTTTTAAAGTTTGGGCACTTTTTTTTTTCTCTCCAACCTCATTCTGGATGGGAATAAAAGATCCAGGCTCCAAGTATTCCCTTCCATATGAATGGTTCAGTCTACCCAAGCTAAAAGCCCCGCTTTCCCCCCACAGTTTTCCATTCAATGAATCTTGTTAGGTTTACTTTGTTGCTGTCTCTTGAATCTAGTCGTTTCTTTCTGTCTCCGTTGCCATTATCCTAGTTTGGATCAGTACCTATTCTCATCTGGGTGTCATCACAGTAGCTACCTTGTCGTGTCCTTTTGTTTATATTTACATTTTTATGTCATTCCAGTCTGCTCTGTTTAAAAAATAGCTTTGTTCATCACTCTATGCTTACAAGCTTTTGGTTGGTCCCAGTACCTCCAGCATAATGACCTAATAAATGCCTTTGACATAGCTTATGAGACTTGTTTTGAAATGGCCCCGGTCTTCAGCTTCTTTTCTCATTCTCCTTCGATACACTTGCAGGTGCTTCCCCCCTACCTACCTCCACCCATACAGGCAAGCCCCTCTGAAAGACTCTAATTCCTTCATACTCTTTTACGTTGGAGCCATTTCAAAGGCCAGCTTTATGCTTAGGACGTTCTTCCCTTCCTTCTTCCTTGCTTGAGTAATTGTTACCAGGGACCCTCATCTAGGCTTTTATCTTCAGCCCTTCGAGGTTAGAGTAGGTATCTTTTCTACAGTTTTCACATTACACATGGTACTACCCATACCCATGTTAAAGTTTTTAGCACACTGTAATGCAATTGCCTATTAAATTCAATGGCATTCCCTTAGACTGTAAGTTTCTTCAGAGCAGTAGCTGTATTTTATTCACCATTATATTCTCCAGTCCTAGGACAGTCCCTGGCATGTAATAGTACTTAAATAAATATTTATCAAATAAATGGATTTCAGCAGTGAAGATGTCCTAAGATGCTGTGCTGTATCTTAGAACTAATGCAGTAGAACAACCTGGGCTCATAAGTTTTCTACTTTTGCATACAGCGCTGTCTCATTTCCTGTTCAAAGAAGAAGCAGCTCCTCCTCTTCCAATTTGCTCATCACTTGGAACTTTGGAGACTGGGAGCCACAGGTGCAACAGGTAACATAGGAGAAAGTGTTTATCCACTGGGGAAAGTGAAGAGAAAAGCCCAGAATAAGAATTAGAGTTGAAATTCTGATTGTGGATAAACAGACGTTGACTTTCCTGCGTCAATGGGAACTTGTAGTTTTTCTCCCCACCTGAATTGAATTAAAATCTTTAGCAGACCCTGGATCATCTGTAAACGGTACACTGAAGAATGCAGTTGAGTTGCATTGTAGAATCCTAGTTGCTAAAGCTTGACTGGAATGGAAACAGGCTTTTGAAAACTAGCATGATTAAATGTTGGATAGTGAGGTAGTGACTTGTCCTGCCTGGAAGAATTCACATAGCACTTACTGGGTGACAGACTAGGGCCCTTTTGTGTGACATGTTAAAGAAATGTTCAGGTCCCATTGTTTATAATGGATTAGAGGTTTTGGCTTTAGGCTCGTAAATGACTAAATCAAATGAAAATCTGTGCCACACTGACTCCACTTTTACCTCCCTGCATGCTCAGCAGTGGGGTAGAGCTGCAAAGAATGTTCTGTATCGCAGGCCCTGTCCAGGGAATCCAAATAGAACTGAAGGATGTGCTTGTTGTGTTTCTCTTCATGTACCCTTAGAAAATGTGAGCTCACTGGGTTAGAAAGTTTTCTGATTTCTCACTGGTCGAGATCCATTCTAGTTGAGTGACTTTTCAGAAGAAACAATACACAAATAATCTTGGAGAGATATTTTATTTACTAAGAAAAACCTCAGGGAACTTTCTTGTTCCAGGAAAGAATGGAGATATCCTTCCACTCTCTAAAAATGCAGATCATTTACTACAGCTCAAGAAAAAGGTAAGGAAGTTTAACTATGCTCATACTTAGAAATCCAGAACAGTTTTCTCATTCTGAATTTGAATAACTACTTAGTTAAATGTCATAAGGTGCATAAAGTCTTAAAACTACGTGATGATATATCATGTGACCAGAACTGAGTTTCCTTTGGCTGTAAAGTTATTAGGTGCCACCAAATTGGTTCCGACTCAGTGATCCTGTGCACAATAGAATGAAAGTTGGACATTGTAAATTTGCTGGGTAAATGAATATAAGTGATAATTTTAATTGAGCATTATAAAATAACATACCAATTTTTTAAATTCCAACAATATACAATGAAAAGTGAACTTCCCCTTTTGCCCCTTATCTCAAATTCCGCTATCCAGAGATAATTGCTGCCAGTTTCTTATATATTTTAACAGAAGAAATTTCCATCCATTAATGATAATATACTATATGAATTGTCTTTAAATCTGAATTACACAAATATCTATAACTACAGCCCTCATGTAAAGAATTCAGATGACATCTGTAGATTATATAGTTGCCTATCCCGTGTGCTTCCCTGAAATAATTACTATGATTGCTTACTTTTATATCCCTCCAAATATTTTTCTGTGATAGAGTGTATATGTGTGTGTGCATACATTTAGAAAGCATTTTGTTTTTAATTAATTATATGCATGTTAAATTGAGCTTTTCTTCTCCTTTGTTCTCCAAGTTTTTCACTTACTATTTCTTGGTGTGTTGTTGTTACATGCCATCAAGTCAGTTATGACTCATTGCAACCCTGTATAGGGTTTCTGAGGAGCAGTTTGAGCCACTGACCTTGTAGTTAGAAGTCCAATGCTTATCCTACAGAGCCACACCAGACTATTTCTTAGAGGTATTTAAAGCAGGTTGTCATAGACAAAACAGAAAGTCATTCCCATTCTCCAAAGCTCTCTTGCATTAAATGCTTCCCTGTTCACATTTCTGAAGTGGAGGTTCAGTGTAAAGTGAGCGTATTGTCTCCCTAGTATAAGTACTGAGCTGTGAACCACAGCTGCTCTGTGGGAGAAAAATGAGGCTTTCTGCTTCTGCAAAGATTTACAAGCCTCGGAAACCACTCCATACAGGGTCACTATGAGTCAGAACTGACTTTAGAGCACTTAACAACAGGAACATGTACTTAAAGGACTGATCTGTGTGTGCAATATTCATAGGCTTCCATTCGTGTTTTGGAAACCAAATCCACAGATAGGTGCTCAGCCTCTAATGTCAGCACAGTGTGAGTGTTTAGCTTATGTGTGTGCACTTTTGTGACTGTGTCCAGAATAGGAAGAGCTTGAGGATTCCTGTTACAGTGAACCTTGTTGGTATAAAGCAAGACTTCAAAATGGTCTATTCCATTTGAACTGTGAAGAATTTGCATTTCCACCTAAATATACTTGTGTGGTCCTGGTGTGGTGCTGTGGGTTAATGTATGAGACTGTAAAGTCGGTTTGAACCACAAAGTCAATGGTTCAAGCTCACCAACCACTCCTTGGAAACCCTAATCAGGGTTGCTACCGGTCAGAACCTGACTTGATGGCACTTAACAACAATACTAGATCAAGTGGGAGAAAGGTAAGGCTTTCTGCTCCCTAGATTTACAGCCTTGGAAACACCCTATACAGGGTTGCTGGGAATCAGAACCAACGTCAGGGTACCTTACAACAATAACTATAAAACTGAATCAGTCCACCTTAACAAGCTCTCCAGGTGATTCTTTTAGAGCGTCATACTTTGGGAACTTGTTCAAATGTAGATTCTGATTCAGTTTATCTGGGGTGGAAATAAGCGGGGGCTTGAACCGGAATAAACCACTTTGAAGTTGTGGTGTAACATGTTCATCCTGATTCTTAATATTGCCAGGGTCCTGAGAATATCATTTGCAGCTGTATCTCCCCATGTGGAAGTTGGATAGCCTATTCTACAGCCTCTAGGTTTTTTCTTTACCGGTTGAGTTATGAACATGACAACATAAGCCTCCAAAGGGTAAGTGGTAGCCCAGTGTCTGGCTAAACAAGGAGAAAGTTCCTATATGTGTGATTTTTGGAGTGAAATGAAAATGTACAGGGGCTGAGGCTCTTTGGAGACAGTTGTTACTGAACAGCCTTCTTTCCATTTTGATTATGATTTTGGAGGGGTAGGGAAATGGCAGAAAGTGGCTTTTTTAATAAAGTTTCGGCTTTCCTGCTTAATGGTGTCAGTCAGATGTTACAGTTCTTTCTATTAGCATTTACTGAACAGATGAGAACGGGGTGGTATAGGTTACATTAGGCATGTCAGTGTTACTGCTCTTCTAACAAAGCTCTTAAGAAGGATTATGAAACTTTGGCTCCAAATAAGACCCTTGGTCAGTTAGCTTGCTTAGAGACAGGAAGGATTCATGTAATGAAAGCCTGGCTGAGATTATTTTCAGTAGGTTGTTGTCTCTTTATCTCAGACACTGATATTTATTATTGTTTCTCCCGAAGGTTCCCAAAATGCCAGCATTCCTTCACGCTGCCCTTCAGATTTTGTTTTCTGAAGACTCCACCAGGCTCTTTGTGGCATCACCTCAAGGGTCTCTCCATATCATCCAGCTGTCGGAAGGACACTTTAAACACCTGCATACTTTCCAGCCCCAGTCAGGTGAGAATTGGTAACTGGCCACAAGAGAGAGATTGTCTCTGTTAAGATGTATCTTTCTTTTCCCCTTTAAACCTCAGTGTCCTTGTTTCACTCATGTTCTTCCCACCCTGCAAATAACACACTCTCCCACATGTTTGTAATTTAAAGTGGGAGGAGATGGCTGGCAAATGAAGACGCTTGATGAGATATGAAATGCTCTTTACACCTACTCTTTTCTCACTGAGTTTTTAATTCCTTATTTGGAACAAAGTTTCATCATCCTTCTTAAGAGTTTTGTTAGTAGAGCAAGAAGAATGTTAGGATCATTTGTAATCCTGACACCCAGAAATAGCTAGCATTAATATTTTAATCTATTTCTAGTAGTGTTTGAATGTGGGTATTTTGTGGATGGTTTTGTTGTTTTTTTAAAGGTGACGATACTCTTCTGCGTGCAGTTTCATTACCTATGCTCATCTAAATCTTAAGCAGATTTTTCTGTGTTCTTTGAGAACATGAATACGTGTGAATGAATGTGTATGTGTGTTGCTTAATTATTGCCCAGTTAACTATTGGAGACTTAGTACCTGGCTTAACCTGATCTCTACTATAGTTCTTGGACTACTACTTCTGGTCCATTTCCCTCATCCTGGCATATAGCTGCTTCACTTTATCATCTAGGCACCATTAAGCTGGGGAGGCCAACTCTCTTAAATTCTCACTCTCCATCACCTACTCCAGAAAGCAGCCGTAGAAGAAACCTTGGGCTAGGGGGCAGATCAACTAAATTGACAATATTAGTCAAGTACCTGTTTATATTTTTATTGTTGTTGCTAAAGTGCTGATGATTTGATTCTGACCCATAGCAATGCTGTAGAGGGTATCAAAAGGAGCTCTGGTAGTGTAGTAGTTACTCGCCGGGTTGTTAACCTCAAGGTTGAGCAGTTTGAAACTGTCAGTGGGAGAAAGATGAGACTTTCTGCTTCCATAAAGATTTACAGCCTCAGAAACCCTATGCAGGGTTGCTGTGAGTCAGAACCAATTCCATGGCACATAACCACCACCACCACCATAGGGTTTCCAAGGAGCTGCTGGTGACTTTGAACCACCAACCTTGTGGTTCAAATCGACTTTGCGGTCCAGTGGTAGCGTAGTGGTTACGAATGGGGCTGCGAACCTTAAGGTCAGCAGTTCGAAACTACCAGCTGCTCCGCGGGAGAAAGATGAGGCTTTCTACTCCTGTAAAGATTTACACCCTCGGAAACCCTATACAGGGTCACTATGGGTCGGAAGCGACTCGATGGCACACAACAACAACAACAATTATCCTGTAACACCACGCTATTACAAAATTTTGACTTTCAATCTTTTACTTTGTAGTTGTTAAGTGGTGTTAAGTCTTATACCGACTCATAATGATCCTGTGTAGGATTTCTGAGGAGAGGTTGGTCAGCTTGAACTGCTGACCTCGTTGTTCAAACTGACCTTGGAGTCCATTGCATTAACCCACAATGCCACACCAGGACTCCAGTCTTGTTATTAAGTGCCGTGGAGTCGGTTCGACTCATAGCGACCCTGCACAGGGTTTCCGAGGCTGTCAGTCTTACGGGAGCAGACAGCCTCCATGGAACCGCTGATAGTTTCGAACTGCTGACCTTGCAGTTCACAGCCCGATACGTAACCACTACACTACAAGAGCTCCTTTAGCACCCATTAAAATTAGGCTCTGCATTCTGCAAATAACTAACTTGTTTTTTGGTCTGCTCTCATTTTCCTCTTCTTTTAATCAAGCAGGTTTCTTCATAGCACTTCAACCTGTATATTCCAGGGCTTGCCATTTATTTTAACTGAACTGATGCTGATTACCACTGCCTCCATTCTTTACCCATTCCCCACGCTTCAGTATCTGGTTTATGTCTTGTTATAATAGCATTCTTCTCATTCAGAGGTGGTGTGTGCAGACAGTATTATTGTCTGCTTCTTTCCCACCACTGATTCTTTTTTTGAAACTTTTAAATGTGAATTAAGTAAAGGTTTATAGAGCAGGTCATAAACTTTGTATTCAGCAAATCATACTTTGGTTCATCTCAGTGATTGCAAATCTTCTCCATATAATAACAGTTAACCCATTTCCTCCCTGTGGTTATTAGTTCCATTTCACCTTCCTTCCCCAACCCTTCTGAATTTTGTCCTTAGAAAAATGTTGCTCTTTTGATCTTAAATGGTTGATCATTCCAGGGTGAGCATACCCTACTAGGGATTCCCCCTCTAATATACCTATCTACCACTTGGTTGAAAATGGGCCAAGAGGTTGAGTTCTATTATAGACTTAAAGGGTGGTTGAACACCATAGTCTCAGGTTCCTCCAGTCTCTGTCTGACCAGTAAGCTCAGTCTTTTTTTTTTTTTTTCAATTTTGCTCCACATTGTCTCCCACTCTGTCCAGGACCTTTGAATACAATGATCCCTTTTAAAACAGTTGCTAGTGGTAGCTGGGCACCATCAGAATCATGGTGAATGATGTTGGTGTGCTCTGTTAGTCTTTTGAACAAATTATTTCCAAGCGTCTTCAGTTTTTGTCCTTCTTATTTCTTCCACATATGAACAGACCAATAGTTACACCTTAGATGGTTGCTCATGCCCCCACTCCCCAAGTTTTAACTTGCCATGTTCTTTAAAGTCCCTTGATGAAAAAGAAGTGCATCATCCTCCCCTCATGCTAAATGTACAGCAAGCACCCAGTAAATTAAGGATGTGCTTCTAGTCCACTGAACTGACTTGTATTTCCATAGCTTTGATTGGAACTAATTGGTAGGAGAGGAGTTGAAAGAAATTGGTTTAAATCAAAGGTGGGGAACCATTTTTCTGCCAAAATTTACAGCACTCATGGGTCATACAAAATTATCAACTTAAAAATTAGCCTGCTATCATGGTAATGAAACAAAGTGTATGATTTGTGGTTTGTAAAACTGATGATCTGCCCTGTAAACTTTCACTCAATTCACAATAAAAACATTAAAAATTAAATAAAAATAAAGCTAATGGGCAGGGGAGGAAATTAAATTTTAGAGAACACATTAAAAAAAATTAGCCTTCTATATTTGGTCAAACATTTGATTAACTCATCCTTAATGTGATGACAGAGTCCTGGTGTGGCACTGTATGATAAGCATTGGACTGCAAGTTTATTGTTGAACAGCAAGGTTGTTAGTTCAAACTAAGACCAATCATTCTTCGGAAACCCTATACAGGGTCACTGTGACTCAGAACCAACTTAACAACAAATGTAATGGCGGGAACTACAGCTGCCTAAGCAGAGCCAGACCAAATGATTTCATAGGCCTTCCCACGGTACTTAATAACAACAACATATGGCCTGTGGAGTCTTGGTGTGGTGCTGCAGGTTAATGCACTGCACAACAAGGTGGGTTTGAACCACAGAGTCAGTGATTCAACCTCACCAGCCGCTCCTCAGAAACCCTATTTAGGGTCGCTATGAGTCTGAATTGACTCAACGTCACATAACAAGAACAACATATGGCCTGTGGTCCGAATGTTACTCAGCCCTGGTTTAAGTGATACATTTGACAGATTTTAGTGGTTGATGCAGTCCTGACTCTGCATTTTCATAGTGAACAATTTCTTGTGTTTGAGCACAACTGAACATTTCCTTCAGGTTTATCATTCTGGCTCTGCTTTACATAAGGGATTGCTAGTTAAATGGGAAAGTGGTTATGTTAACGTTTATTATCTAACCTATTTACAAAATATTAAGAAATTCACTTTCTAGGTGAATCTCTGAATGACACTTAGTATTGTTAGTCACCCTTCTGGTCGGGAACTGAACTTTCAGCCAAACAGTTGTCTACAAGGAAACATAACAGTAGTGAGGTAAGCATACCTTAGACTAATCAACCATTGGAGATTCAGAGGGAAATATTTACCCACGGACATAGTTCAGAAGGGGTAGGAGTAAGGAGGAATGCAAATAAACACAGGGAGGAAATGGTATATGTGATGTTCCATTGAGGGGATTGCAGTCAGTGAGATGAAACAAAATATGTCTGATTTGTTTAATGTAAAACTGATGATCTGCTCTGTAAGCCTTTTTCAACTCATAATGTTGCTGTTGTGAAGTACCGTCGAGTCGATTCCAACCCATAGCGACCCTGTGTAGGGTTCCTAAGGAGTAGCTGGTGAGCTTGAACCACTGACATTGCAGTTCAAATGACTTTGCAGTCTGATGCATTAGCCCACCAGCACCACACCAGTAGTCCAATTCATATAAACATATCAATTAAATAAAAAGAAAGAAATTTCCCTGTCAGAAATCTGAGGGTTTTTTTGCTTTTGCCATCCTCTTCAGGGTAGGACTGCTTGAAGATATCGGGTCAGTTATGAGACTTCATTTCTTGTGCCTTCACAGGGACTGTGGAAGCCATGTGTCTGTTGGCAGTCAGTCCTGATGGTAATTGGCTGGCTGCATCAGGTACCAGTGCTGGGGTCCACATCTACAGCCTGAAACAATTAAAGGTGAGCACAGCATTTAGAACAGTGTGAGTCTTTATACAGGAGGAAGTTGGCTCTGCAGTTATAAAATTCAAGGCAGATTGGTGTGAACTAGAGATTTAGGGTACTTTTCTTAAGTAAATATTTTTCTGGTTTTGGAACCTTTTCTTAAAAAAATTAGTACTACCACCTTTTTGGAATCTAAAAATTAAAATAAGTATCTATTTACTATTTCCATTTTTATTTATATCAAGATTGTTTTAAAATGTATAACATTTAAAGTCAGTCAGTGGTAGTAGGAGAAACATTTTTTGCACGAGAGGATTTGTGGATGCTGAATCCATATGCCCGTCATTAATGTGTTTTGAGGAAGGAGGCTAGATAATAGTGAGGAAATTATAATTTGTACATGAATAGTTGCAGGTGGTAACTCTCTTCCTATAGTAGTTTAGTTTGCAATCTTAAGATACGGTTAAACTAAATAGATCCAGATATTTGAAAAAGGACTAGCAGGAAAAATGTTTGATTAATCACTTATTATACTGTCATTTACACATTGAATCACTTTTTTCTAATGATCAAGTTCTTACCTTGTTTATCATAAAAGTCAAATAAGAATTACCAAAACTTACAGTAAATAGCTGCACTTAATGGGTTTACTGTTAATGCTTAATTGAATTTCTGGTTACACTTTGGCAAAAACTTTGTCTTTGAGCCTTGCCTGAGATTGTAAGAATCCTCATATGTATTGGTGCCCTTGCTTTGTAGTTGTTCTACGTTCCCTGCCCAGGCATCAGTTTCTTTCCAATTCAATGTCTATGTTTCCTACTCAGTGACTTTTTTCATGTGGAGATGTTGTTACATGCTGTCGAGTCGGCTCCATAGCAGCCAAAGGGTTTCGGAGGAGTGGCTGGTGTGTTTGAACTGCTAACGCTGTGGTTAGCAGTTCATTGCTTATCCTACAGCACCACACTGGGGGTGGTAGCAGGGAAAGCTTTTTTCTATATATGCTATCAATTTTTAAGCAGTTGAAAATGCACTTTTTTTTTTTTTAATGAAAGCTTGTTGCTTGAGGAAATACCTAAAGTTTATGAGACCTCTCAGAACCTCTTCAGTTCCAAGGAGAATTATTAAGAACAGTTGACCTAGACTATATAGTTGTTCTGGTGGGCAAGTGTTGTAGCGTGGCCTCTCAAGTCTGTTATTTGTTCCAGCCTCACTGCACAGTGCCTGCTTACAACTTCCCTGTGACTGCCCTTGCCATCGCTCCCAATACCAACAACCTTGTTGTTGCTCATTCTGACCAACAGGTAAGAGAGATTCCTCACTCTTTTTTGCCAGATTGTTGTTGTTGTTAAGTGCCGTCGAGTCGGTTCCGACCCATAGCGACCCTGTACAGGGTTTCCGAGGGTGTAAATCTTTACGGGAGTAGAA